TGTTTGTGGGTTGCTAGGCATTGGCAAAGTATGAAATACAGATGAGCAGGGCCAGCTCTATTATTAGGCAGAGTAAAACCATCACCTTAAGCAGCAGATGCTGAGAGAAGGGAGCAAGGCCTTCAGAGGTGAGAGGTGTGTGCCACAGAGCCAGCTCTGTGCCTCTTAAATTAGCCTGCTGACTTCAGGTACAATGGAGGACAGTGTCCATCATCCATGTCCAAGGCAGATTCATCTTGCCAGTTCAGCCAGTTGTTGTATATGGTATGGGAAAGGGTACCACCTTGTTCTTCACCTCAGGCAGTTAAATGTCCTGGGCCCGCACTGAAACTGTGAATTGTAACATCCGCAACCACTGCTTTCCACCTAACAGACATGGCCACAGAGGTACACTAAAGCTGAATCAGACTGAAGAGCCAGGGGGAGGGGGGGTCTGATGCAGCAGAATTAAGGGGAACAACAGGCAAGACACCTCAGGGATGGAGAGAACAAGAAAGCAGGGCCCAAGAAAATGAAAAGTGGGCAAAATTGGCTGAGAAGGGAGGACAAATCTAGCACTTGCCTACCTACAGGCCATCTCATGTACAACACTACATTTCCATGCAAAATGCACTCGTGATGGATTTTTTGGTAATAATTATAAAGATGTATAGTTGAACCATTAACATTGGTTCACTTAAGGCTTTTAAAAATCAGGGAAGTAATTACACTTCTTGTGGAACTGGAATTAAGTGGCTAGGTACCTTCATCAGAGATCATTAGATCAGGAGCTAATTCACTCCATATACTCACTCTGCACCACCACAGGGACTCTCTATGCATTTGCACCTTCAAATGCAATACACTGATCCAGAGAACAATTCTAGTTCCACTACTGTCACCTGTTGGCATTTCTTAGTGACCTGAAAGGCATTAATAATCAAAGTGATGTTCTACTGCAATTTTTAAAGTTACCTATTTTTTTGTTGTTTAATATCAGATATGCTTTCAAAAGTAACAAAATTAGTTGCTCCAGGCCCTTAACCAGGGGGTTAAATGTAGTGTTTTACTATGGCATGACCCTTTACTTCATAAAAATAAAAGAAAAATAAAAGTAGGTGCTTTTCCCTAAAAAGACCCACCAGTCCTAAACAAGGATAAAACAGAAATAGGGTAGCACATCCTAACTGCCAAAGGAGAAAGCAAAAGCTGAAAAGCACTCAAAGTTATCAACCACCTTCTTTTCCCAAATAAGAAATAAACTTGCAGTGATAAGAAACAGTAACAAGCAGACAGAAAATGCAAAACCCCAAAACTATATTAAAATATGTCCTCTTACATATGAAAAGATTCACAGTACAGGTTGCCAAGTTAATACATTGAATACAAGGACAGCATAAACAGAAATGTGGACAACAAACTGCAACCCAAGGAGTGAATGCCTGAATAAATATAGGTACCTCTAGTTCAACTAGCGCTGCAGTCACTGCATCTGTTACAAGAGCCCCAGCCTGTAGCTTTTCAATTGCCTAGAAGACAGAATTTTTAGGTATAAAGTTTTGCCTCTTCATTTTTGCATACTAAATTTTCTATACAATAAAGCCCAGCAAGTGACTAAGTCCTGAAACAGACATGTTGCTCAAACAAGTTTCCAGATGTGTTTAGGGACTACTGAAAGAATGAAAGAACTGCAAATTTATTTCACTATTGTTAAGGTCATGGAACCACACACTCTACAAACTCCGACCTCTTTGTGAAAAGAAATATAGCTCAGCTCACATATTAAAACGGCTCCAAGCACATGGAAACACCAAACTTACCATAAACACACAGACAAGTGCATAAAATAGAAAGCAAAGCAGGAAATTCTCATTATTGACTAATTACAGATATTTATTGAAAGCATACTTCTGCTCCTGGAACAGGCTTCCTCAGTGAACATGATGAAGTATGATAGCCCCATGCTTCATCAGAAGATGTGCTATACAGCTTGCCTTCAGTTTAGATGTTCACTGGCACTGCCTTCTGAACAACCGACTGAAATTCTAAAGTACAGAGGCTGAAACCAACCAAGACTTTTGATGAGACAAAGGGATGGGGGTGGGGTCCCCCACTGGAAATATCTTATACCAGTGGTCCAACATGTGCATGTGCTTGTGCTTCCTATGGCACTGAAGATGCACCTTGAGGTGTCACTTTAACCTGTGTGGTTCTGAATGACATGAGGACTACTTCCTGTCTCACATCCTACTGTGATTTCTACAGGCTGGTGAGAGAAACCTCATCATGGCACACATGAAGGTATTCTCAATCACTGCTCCCCAGTTTGGGGAGAATTCCACTGGGAATGCTCCCCCACCCCTCCCCCACAAAAGTTCAAAAAAAGTCCAAAGCAGAAAACAATACAAAAAACTTGATATCAGGGAAGCATTTTATGGCCCAGTTCAAAGCAAATTCTAAGTCAGGGGTGGGAAACTACAACTCCCCTCACCCCTTATGCTGGCTGAGGGTGACGGGAGTTACAGTTCAACAGGATGTCCACCTTGTTCTAAAAAAAATAAATTTAAACAACACCATCATGGCAGGAACCACAAGAACCTGAAAACTACCACATTATGTACAGCTAAGCCTAAAACTGGAACATACTCTAAGAAGCAAGCAGGTTAAACATTTAGTACAACACCATCCATGCCAGAAATTACACCAAACACATGGTGGAAAATGTGAAGTGAAATGGTTAACACTGCAATCGTATGCATGTTTACTCAAATGTAAGTTTCACTTAGTTCAACAGAACTTACTCCCAGGTGTGTATAAGATTGCAGTCTAAGTTGAGCTATCAAAATGATACTGTGCAAAAGCTTAAAGTTTATCAAAACCAACAGGCCCAAACTCATAGCCTACAGTGTCCATATAATTAAAACACTGCTCCAAAAGTAGCAACATTTTTTTTCTTCCAAAAGTGACAAATTTATCAGGAATGCTTGCAGGAAAATGCAGCACATCCAAATTTAAAAGTATCCAAATCATTACCATACTAATGACACATTTTTGCCTGTCTGTAAGCATATGAATACAATTTCACTGTTCTCATGTTCAACCAGTCACGCATTTCAGTTTTTTCAGTTTCCATAGAAATACATCCATATGTCTCCAAATAGTAAATACATAATATTTTATTTTTAAAAGGCATCACATAAGCATTTATTTAGCATTTCTGATGACTACAAATAAACTGAAAGCATTTGATAGAGAGAGAAAACTGACAGAGTCTTACCTTCCGACAAGCTCTTTTGCACACATGTTTATATTCTTTGGCTTTGGATTCAGAATGATACCCTGCCCCTAATATCAAGGAAGATACAGAGGAAGAGGAAAGTAGATTAAAAAGCTAGAATGATCTTTTTCTAAGGTTAATCAAGGTAGCCTTTCTGTCCAATAAACAGATGCTTGCTAACCAACATCCAGTTAAATCCCCCTTTATATGCACTACTACTGATGTAGGAGCTGCTTCTGTCCAGCAAAGCCCCACTCTATATAAGCATGCATGTGACTAATGCAACCCAGTGAACATGACTGATCAGCTGGATTGCTGGAGCTCAGTAGGATGGTCAACAGCAGAAGGAACATCCACATCTGTTGTTCATATGCCCACCTCTGCAGACATTGCTCCCATGCTACTGATCACACATGTAAGGACCCAAAATACCACTTGTTTTTGGATGCAAAGGGCAAGTGCTGTGACAGTCATACCTGTCATTTTCAGGACACAGACCCACATGGTAGCTTTGTTTCCATAACGTTGACAGACAAGCACCTACCTAGACAAGTCTACATAGCTATGCAGCATTTCTGAACCAAAGACCGTGATTTCACCCTTGCCACTGATTCCTGAATTTTGTTTTAATGCAGTCACAAGTCATTTTATTTTGTTCTTTTGAGAACTATAATTTATGTTGTACAATGCAGAAAAAAATGAAGGCAGGTTAGCATAAAAAGAGCACTGGGGTAATTTGGAATTTATCCCCATGTTTTTCTCTATCATGTTACTCTTTAGTGAAATAGTTTGCCCTCTACAAAGTCGGGCACCTTGACTTGCATCTACTTCAGTTCCTAATACACAACAGTACACATCATTTAATCTAACTTATGAACTCAAAGGGTTGGCATTTACTTAATGGTCCAAGCCAAAATTGAGCACCCTTCTACAGTCAAATGGAGTTTTATGGCTGCCTGGAAACACTTCTCACCTGCTCTGAGAATGAGAAAGCACAACTTGCAGCTCATTGCATTATAGCATTAAGAACCATGCGCAAATCTTAGTGCTAACATCCACTGTGATGCCTGCTAATTTGGAACAAAATTGTGGAACCATAATTGGCATTTTTCATAACCTTCAAAATTCTTCATGCATTGTTTAAACTCCATTGCTTCAGAACAAAAACCTCCACTTAAAGACATTTTATATTTGTATTCATGCACATCAGACTGCAAAAACATGTGCAATTCTTAAGATGACCAATATTTATGGTAAAACATTAGATTAGAGCAATATTTTGATTCAGGCACATTTTGTTTAACTTTCTGACAAAATAGTTAAGTGTTAAGAAATGTTGCTATGCCAAAGTGGCTAGAGAGATCTAAAACTTAAATCAGAGTTTGAAACAAGCCCATAGTTTAAATTCAGCAACATGTACTATTATATTTGTAGTTCAGTCGAGATGTCCTTCTCATTGTTGTTATGTACTGTCAAAGTCATCTCCAATTTAAGGCAGCCCTATGAATGGATGTCTTCCAAAATGTCATATTCTCACTCAGGTCTTCTATAGTCCAAAACTTATTCCAGGGGCGGGAAACTAGGGCCCTCAGTCCCATTTTGAAAACCCACTGCTAAAAGGATTATATTCCTCCCCTGAAGCCTACTGGGCAGGGAGGGAGACAGAACAGGAAGAGGCAACAGAAAGACAGAGAGAAGGGGTAGCTTTGCCCACTTTTGGCTCTGGCTGTATCCACAATTGGCATGCAACATCCAACCGCTTGCCCTGAAAATAAGGGTGGGGTGATGAAGCTCCTGCAGTTCCCCAGTGTGTCCCTCCAAAATTCAGAGATACCCACCAAAATCTGTTTAATATTTGAATCTGGCAAGCAAAATGTTTTCCGGAGCAGCTGCCAACTGCCAAAAGGGAGCAAAGTAACATGTTTACAAGCAAATGTTATCCTTTGAGTGCTCTGCAACAACTCTGGACACTACACTATTTTCTTTCCTACCATTTTCAGCACCCAGCCAGGGGAAGCAGAAAAGGCCTCCATGCCTCCGATAGTTTCCCACCTCTGCCTGAAGGGAACATGGACCTCAACAGAAACAAGGTTCCTTCTTCCTGCCTTAGTACATTTATCTTTAATTCTAAAAGCAATGTTGTCACCAATAATGGTGAAGGTGAAGGATACTAGCAAAAAGGGCAAAGTCACATTTCATAGCCAAAGGAAATTATTATTATTATTGTCTCTGAGAAGCACAAAGGTTTGTGTATTGAACACTCAGCAAGATATTTGAATAAAAAGAACAGTAACTACTAAGAGCAAAGAAAAAGCAAGCTACACTTCAAGCCCATTGCCCATGATGATGCTTTCCCAGAACAGGGTCCTTGCTTATCTATCTCTTTCCAGAATTTTTCTCACTCATATATTCCTCATCACTCCCATAAGCATCATAGGCCAGCACACAATGATGAACCCCACCTACTGTTAAAATGCTGTGTCTTTACCTGCATGTACAAGTACAAATCCTACTCGTCTCACTTTCTGAGCTTGCTTTGCTTCATGGTCTTTCACCATTGCTCTTACTGCAGTGGCATGAGAAGATCTGGAGGGAAGACCTTCCACTGAGCTTATCCCCTTTTCCATGATCATACTTCAAGGTTACCATCTTCTGTAGCAGAGAGCATGCTTCCACCCAAGGGAAAGTACAGAAGAGGGCTCTTTCTGAAAACAAAAACATATGCATATGCTACATTTCTTTTGTACACAGGGGTAAATTCTTACACAGTACTTCTGTGAAAGAGTGCCATATGCATGCTAGGCAGACAAATAACCCATTAACCCTTTACTGATCAGTTATATTTGGAGGGGGGCCCTCAGCATGGGAAATAACAGCAGGAAACTATATAAAACAGCTTTCATATTTAGCAAAACTGTACAGTGGATACAAAGCACATTACTGTCTCTTCCACCGTATTGAAAAAGTTATCTTCAGATTAACAAATGCAAAGAAATAACCACCCAGGCTGTAAGAATCTCCACAGGATAACTTGAGGAGTTTGGGAGAAGAATGCTATTTGCAGAGAGAACATCTTCATTTCTTGTAGCAGCATACTCAAATGGTTGAGAACCAATCAGTTGGGAAATGACATGGAACCAACCCAAAATAAGAACCTTTTCCCACTCCCACTCTCTCATAAGGCTCAAATGGTACTACTGGATTCCAGACTGGCTGGAGGTCTGAACAAGAGCCCTTGCTTCAGAAGCTGAGGCCATACAGCATGTTAGCTTGCGGGCCTCACTTGTTATCTTCTCTAGTCCTTCCATCAAAGGCTTTTCTTGCACAATCATCCTGCCTCAAATACAGGTTTTACCAAGACTCCAGTCACAAAATCTTCTGCTGTAACCATCCTAAGTTTACCCACCACTTCTTCCATTCCTTTTCTTACCACACACCTGTTCATGAGGGAAAGACAGAATAGCTGCAAATGCATTTGAGATAACATTAGTAGCTCACCATCTGGAAGCCAGGCAAAGGCTCCACAGCTGTTGAGCTTTAGACTCTCATGCAACAAAAACATCTAAGGTCATTGATGGCCTTCCAGATATTTTGACCTACAACTCTCACCAGCCTTAGTCACCATAACCAATAGTAGTTTTTTTTTGGGGGGGGGGATGAAATTTGACTAATAAAACACCTGGAAGATCCAAATCCACAAATTATTTGTATGAGCTGTCACTCAATAGAGCTTGGAGAGACAGCCCAGGCACAATGAAATATTAACCACACACAAATCACAACTTATTTACCCTAGAGGCAACAGTGAGTGCCTGATTAAGGTTGCAGTCATACACACATCTATCTTATAGCAAGTCCACCTGCTTCAGAAAAACCAGGTATTAGATCACAAGAGGTGTGTCTCAGAAGAGGGTGACACAGCGGCACCACCAAGATGTACCCAAGAAAAGATAATGCAAATTAGAAAACCCTCAACTTGCTCCTTGCAATCTGACTTACTCAAAAACAGAAGGGTAGAAGGATGAAGCCAGGTCTTAATCAACAAGCACAGACTCAGAAAATAGTGGATGTTCCACATTAATCTTCACGTTAAAAGGTTTCTTAGACACCTGAGAGAAAAAATATCAACCAACATCACCATCCTGCTAAGGCAACGACCAGGAGGCAGGAAGAGGAAAGGGCTCACCCACACATCAATGCGAAATCAAGAAACATGATGAGCCGGGCCAACCGTACCCCGGTCCCTGCAGCCAAGGGAGCGGGGTTGCTAGCTATCAGAGGGCCCCCCAAAAGCTCAGTGTTTGGGCCTCCTTCTTGACACTCCCCTGTGGAGGACCAGAGCCTCGGGACAAGCAGCCCTGAGGCAAAGCTAGCTGGGATGGGCTCAAAAGCTCTCCGTCCCGGTTCTCAGCCACAGGCAGGCTCTGTCCACTAAGCAGCCGGGTAAGGACCCCGACCCGCTCCGCCTATTAGCACGCACGCCTAGGGATGTGAGCCTCGGGCAGGCGAGCAGGAAGCCTACCAGGGCGTGCCTGGGCAACCAATGTGATGAAGTCGCATTCTCATAGCGTCATAAGCGTGCTTCTTGCGTCAGCGCGTGACGTCACGGTCCAACGGCAGCACCGCCGGGGCGGGAAAGGCGAGCGGCTCAGTCTTCGACAGCGGTCCTTCGCAGACTCACCCGGCAGGTCCAGTCAGGGACCGCTAGCAGGCTCGCGCCCTCACCCGCGCTCACCCATCCATTTGTCATGAGGCGGGCGCCTGCCTCGGCCTGAAGGGAAACCAAAAAGATGTTTCAAAAAAGGGGGGAAAAAAACACCGCAAGCACGTACAAGCCCGGCAGGAGGAGTGTACCGCCCTCACTTCCGGTTCTGATTCGAGTGTCCCCACCATGTGCGGGGGTGAGAGTGGCGGAAGCGTCGGAGGAATCTGCACGCACCTTATGGGGGGGTGCGGGCAGCTATGTTTAAACGAGTTCCTTTGGTTGCGCGCGTTGTCAAGTCTGCGCTCTTCCTCAGAGAGAAGCTCTTCTTTGCTACTGGGATAGAGAGTGGAGGGGTTTCTTTTTCCTCTTTTGAAGGGAAAGTTTTCAGACGGTTGCTGGCGGGAAGGAAGAAGAAAAACATTTAGGCTGCTGTCCTGTGTAGACTTAATCTGGCGGAATAAGCGCTCACTGAATAGTGCAGAGCTTGCTTCCGAGTAAACATGCTTAAGCGAGCTCTGCCAATTCGGTTTGCTCTGTCCCTGGATAAAGAGTTGGGGTACGAGGACGCGTTTTGGAAAAGCGATGCTCGACTCCTGCCTTCTCTGTCCGTGGCAGGCTGCTCTCCAACTTCAGATTCTCCCTCTTCAGATTACAGGATTTGCCGGACAGATCAGAACGAGAATGGATCCGAACAGTTAAAAGAAATAGCAAGGAAAGAAACGTGCTTTGCCACAAAATGGAAAAAAGGCAGCTGAACCGAGACTTGGGGCTACAATCCTATGCAGACATACTAAGGAGCAAGCCCCATTGAACACAGAGCCCCTAATCAACACAGATGGGATTGTGCCTGTAAAACTGCAATCATACATATACCTACCTGGAGTAAATGCCCCACTGACTATGAGGGATTTAAGATTGCTTTCCTAACAAAGACGGAGCTGAGCTGTTGGGGGATGTGGAGGGGAAGGGGAGAGTGATGATTACACCCTGAAGCAAAGGTTTTATGTCAGCCTGAGTGGAAAAGCAAGCTGAGAAACTCTTGCTGTATTCTTTGACTTGACACAGCACTAGAGTTTTGCCGGGGAATGCTCCTGTATATTTCAGTATGTTAAAAGTCCAGATCAATTCAGCAGGTACACATGTATTTCCATAAAGCAGAGACATGTGATTGATTCCCTGCTTCACATGGCCTTAAAAGCAGCTTGGTGCCCTTCATATGCGTTGGATTTTGATCCCCATCATGCCCAGGCTGCCACCTGAGCAGGATGGGAATTGTAGTCAGGCACATCTGGAAGGCAATAGGTTAAGGAAAACTGCTTTAAAAACATCCGAGGTCCTGTACAGGAAAGTATCATTGCAACAACCAGGAGTCAATTCCCACTACTGTGACTTTAAAAGCTGTTGGGAAAACAACCAAAAGCTCATTCGTCTCTGCTTCTTCACATCCGAATATCAGCTTGTTATAATATCTGAGAAATGAGCCCTGCTTACATTGTGTGTTTACATGACCCTTCCCCTTAACTTTCTCCTCCTTTGCCCTGAAGATGGAGACTCCTCCAAACTGCGATCAAGAACCCGAAGTTTTAATAGACCAACATCTGAGATCAGAGCCCCTTGGGAAAGAAGCCTTGTAATCTTCTAATAAGGGGGTGGTGGTGGGAGAAGATCACGAGACCGGAAGTACATGTACACAATTAAGTTGAAATCAGAGCAATATAAAAGATTTAGAGGTACATATCTAGAAATGCCAGTTTGATTAGGGCTATTCATTTTTTTCTCTTACAAGGTGGATGTGGGAGCTGTGCATAGAATAAGTGGAGAAATTTGAGATTTTATCGGCCAGCAGGTGTCCCCACTCCTCCAACACCTCATTTAACAGCAAACATGAGAGTCGATCCTCTTTCTAACCTACATTTTAATCTGTGAAAACATTACTGCTTTATTTCAAACATTTAGAAACTGAACCTGTTCAGTTCATTCATCAGAGCAGCATGCAATATTGTGTACAGTTGAGTACTGGGTTGGTCAGAAAGGAGATTTAAGTAGACTGACCTTTGCTACGGTCTGAAGGATGTTTTGTATGGAGAAGTTGGGTATGAGCATTCAGCTACTTCTACTACTTTAACTGGACTATATTGCAGGGCTGTTGTAAACTATCTTCGCAGTGCAGCCCCTGAGCATGCAATAAAGATGAAATATATTCATATCTTTCAGGGTTGTTGTATTACTACTCTCTCACCCCACAAGGCAATGGGGATAATGCCACTGGACAACACTACACGACTGCTAGCACCAAACCTAACCCAAGACTGCAATAGGGATATAGTACTACTACTGAAGCAAGCACAGCCTGAGTCACAATGTGCAACCTTAAAAGCGACCTATGCTGTAAACCAGTTTTTCCCAGCTGAGGCTCACTTTACCCACAGTATATGGAGAGAGGGCTGCCTTGGAATTTATACTGGCAGCACTCTTTTCTGCAAGTTGAAAACCTAATAAATATTAAATTGCTCACAAGAAATAAGGTATTGCACAGAAAAAGCAGGAATTCATCTGTTCAGTGCCTCTTCTTGTTGGGAGGTAAACACACTGCTATCCAGTCACATCTGTATTTCTGGATTTCTCCACTGATTTCTATGAGCTGCTCTCCCACCTGTCTTTAAAACAAACAAACAAAAAGCTCCTTTGTGTGAGCCAGGATATGACCTGCCTAGATTCTCAACAGTTAGATGGTTTTTACCTTTCTGGCTGCTTTCAGGCAAGACTTCTATTGTGTCATCGCTGTGCCCCTTTCTGGGAATTTTCCATGGCACCCAGGCATTTGTGGCCCTCTTATGTTTTCCTACAGTTTCTTTTGTTTTGTTCTTACTGAAAAAAAATCAGTTCATAAAGAAAATATGGACTTATTCAGTGTTCTCTGATTGCCAGCTTGAGTTTGTCACCTGGCAATTGTAGTCAGAGGTACATTCTCAAGAGCACTTCATCAAAGATTTTGGAAGTCCCAAGTCAATGATGACATGGATTCTATCATCCTGAGCAAAGTTTGTTCTACAAAGTTACACATTTTATCTCATAACATTTTCTGCCACAAGTTAGCTGGAACAGGCAGTAAGCCAAATGCCTTGTGATTTTCTAGATCCTTTCTTTGGCCGTCCATAGATATTGGTATTATTGGAGCACTCTTGGAATCTCTGGAGTAAGAAGTGGATTCTAGCAAAATCTATTTTTGTTAGGTGCTAAATTATTAAAATTTGATATCTTTAAAAATTCTTAGGTGTTTGCTGTCCAGATCCCATAATTAATTCTAGACTTTCATCCCTTGTCAACTGACTAGAAACGGTGGTTCAGAAGTAGACTTTGGCACATCTTTTACTATGAAGGCTGATGCAAAGTCTTCATTTGTTTCCCCTGCAGTTTCCCTGTGTTCCTTCAGTAGCCCATTCTTTTGCACCTCTGTTGTTCCATATGCCCATGTGTTAAAATCCTCAATTGATGCCCTTCTCCAAATGCTCCCTCCATCTGAAGAAGGAAGGCGGCAACCAGAGGGAGCCTTTTCAGTGCCCACTCCTCACCTGTGGCTGTACAACACTGCCCTACCAGGGAACTGGAGCTCTCACCTGGTGCTTCCAACAACACCTTTCAGTGCCTGTGAACTACCTTCTTGTCCACCCAGACCTTTTACCATTTGTGAGGGCAAAGTCCTACAGAGAGGAGCAGAAGCCCTCAGATTCAGAGAATCATAGTCCACCAGTGCAGAGCAGGAGGAATTGTGGGGCTGGATTTACATCTCTGCTCCTCATAGTCTGTATTCTTTAGACTTCCATGGGCAGCTACCTAACAGTGAGATTTCAGAGTGGAAGGGAAGGCAGTTGCAGCTGTTTCAGGAAACTTCATACTCTGACCGCTTAAATCTCCCTGCAGTTCCTCAAACAGCTCCCTGTGCCCTCTCTCCAAGGTTGCTTTGCTGACCTCAGAGCGGGGCAAAGCAGTTCTTTCTGTGCTAGCAGTGAGGCAGAGGAGGCTTGGAGTTCAAATTCCCAGCTCCATGGTCAGGGTGCTGTTCCTGGTCTCAGCTCTAGGAATCTCTACTAAACTGGCCTCTCCAACCATGTCCAGGACCCATAGGATCATTCCTAAACATCCTTTAATGCAACTATTATCTCTTAAATATCACATTTATTAATGTTAACTTTCGACATTAACCCTATGGAGGCATGGCAGTAAGAGTTTGGATTGGGAATCAGGAGATCTGGATACACTCAACCATGAAGCTCCCTGGGTGACTGTCAGTTTAATCTACTTCACAGGGTTGTTGTGAGAATAAGATGGAGAGGAGGGCAATCTTGTAAAATGCTTTGAGTTCCTTGCAAGAGGAAGGAAGGTGGGCTATAAATGTTAATAGCAGCTGCAGCAGCAATAATAATGCATACTGTATTTTAACAGTGTTTTTTCATTTGTCCCTCAAAACATTCCACCCCAATTTTTGGGACTGTTGTCTCTCTCTGTATGTTACATGTGCTGTGCTGATGATATGGCATTTTATAACATTGCTTGCTGAATCATAGAAGAGTTGGAAGGGCCATTAAGGCCATCGAGTCCAACCTCCTGCTGTTGCAGGAGCCCAGTTTACACCCAGTTTAGATGACTGTCCAGTTTGTTTTTGAATGTCTCTAGTGTAGGAGAGCCCACCATCTCTCTAGGCAGCTGGTTCCACTGTCGTATTGCTCTGACAGTGAGGAAGCTTTTCCTGATGTCCAGCCTGCA